AAAAAAAAAGATATGTGACAGAGAACATATGACTCATAAAACCTAACATTTTTACTAGGTTAATCATTAAAGAAAAGGCTTGCAAAACCGCGTTCTCTATGAATATCATTTTACTACAACAAAGATAAAAATAATATAAAATACATTCTTACGCCAATTGATTATAAATGCAAATTTGTATGCTGATCTCCATAACATTTATATATTAATATTTTCATCTAGTACAGAATATAGTCATTCATTAAAGCAAATAGATCTTTAAGGTAAATTCTCTGGGATTTTGGCTACAGATCAATCATAGAAAAATTATATTGGCTATCTTTTTAATTGAGAGTGTGTTCTTCTGTAATGTAAGAGACTGAGAGGACTGCCTATGGGTTTCCCAAACTCCATCTTCCTCTTGTTTGAACTTTTCTATAATTATTAAGTGCATTTATTAGTTAGAAATTAGAGCAAGAGAAAAAAGTAGAAATGAATTGTAGCAGTTTCATATACAGATTCCTAAATTTTGCATACTACATAATCTTAGGGCTATTGGATTTGTAGAGTAAAAATCATACTACTATAAAAGTGATTTGGAAAAATTATACAGTAACTATTAATGATTACACAAGGACAAATTTCTAAGGGACATATTGTTGTAACAAAGGCAAATATCGGTTACTTTCTAGGGTAGAAAAGTCAATCTCTACTCTTGAGAGGCAAGGGTTGACTATTACTTGATGTTAGCAGAGCCACAGCTGGTGAAATTGTATGCTTGATGGGGACAATGGCTAAAGTAGTCAGCCCTTATATCAAAGGACACTAACCCCCATACTAATCCTATCAACCCAGAAAAATACTATTGATTGATGAAATATCTTTGCTGTAAAGTAAGCCCATGATATACACAGATCAATGATGTTTCTGAATTATATGTTAAGGAATATACAAGCCTAAAACCTGTGGCTAAAGATGAATAACTAGGCACTTCAAAGGACAATTTCTACTTTGTTTGAATTTCCATTCCATAGATAGAAAGCCATGAGGAAATTCTTCAGTGAATATCCTAGCTACTAGGTAGGAAATAAAGTGCTTCATTTTAACACAGACAAGCCAAAATCTATATGCTAATAAGAGGTATTGAAGAAATCATCCACATAAACCCAATGAAGACAAACAAATCCAAAATTATAAAAAGAATCAGAAACTTCTGTCTGAAATGAGCAAATCACATATTGGACACTTACCACAGTACAGCAATTTTTCATCTGATTTATCCTTACAATGAGGAATGCCATCACAGGTGAGCTGATAGTCAATGCATTCACCATTTCCACATTCAAACTCTGAATAAATGTTACAGGAGGAATTTTTAGCTGAAAGAAAAAAAAATTAATGTTTTTGTTTAATAACAAATATTTTTCAATATCCTTAAAATTATTTTTCTTAACTTTAATTAGAAGTAAACTAAAATTTACCTAAACATAAAATTAAATAAAGGGAAATTATTTATGGCATTTCATCATAAAAAAATTAAGAGGAACATATGTTGTTGTTCTTACCCTCCTATAAATGTTTGGGGAGTTGCATAAATTTATTTTTCTTTTATGGTTATTTGTGTATTTTGGTAATTATTTGGTAACTCTATGCATGGAATTAAATTTGGATAACTAAATTTATGTATCTAATCTAGCAGTCTATCTTAAGAATAAACTTATAAAGAGGAAGTTACATAAGGTCTACACATAATGAAAATGTTTTTGTTTTTTCTTATTACATATTTTTATTACATATTTATTACATATTTTTTAATATACTGATATTTTTCAGTAAATATTATACTTACTTTTGAATGATTGTTGTGAAACTATCTCAGTCAAATAAATGGTCCCAACTTTTCCCCACGTCCTACTTGGACTTTGTTCCTCACTACATTTTGATGAAACCTTAGTAGCAAGTTCTATCATTCAGAAGTATTGTAAGGGCTGAAATCACATTCATCAGTATAGGAGGTACCACAGAGCAGATTCTTTCTACCTGCCTAATTTGTAATTGGCCAATAGTCACAAAGCACACAAAAATCCTTTCTGCAGCAAGGTTTCAGCCCTGGAAAGCCAATATGTAATCACTGTTTTGAAGGATCTCTACGGAGGAAAACTGACTTACTTTATTCTTAAATAATAGATTTTTTACAAACTTTTAAATCCTACTTTTGGGTACCCAGTTGGCTTGCCCATGGGTATTAATTTCATTGCTTGTCAAATAATTATACACAGAAATCTAATTGTATTAATTATATTTGAGGTGTATACAACTCATTTATCTCTGCTATTATGAAAAATATAACTTAATTTTATACTTTAATTTCAATTATTTGAGGTTTATTTCATGAATATTCATTTAAACACCCAATAATATTGTTTGAAGTTTCCAATATTTTATTTCTTCATTCTACCTAGAATTTAATTAATTTTAACAGAATACTATGTGTACATGAATGTATCTTAGACTTCTAATTTAACTCTTTTGATACTAATAAAACTTTCCAAATGATTGTTTTTTGGTGCAATATAAACTTCATTGGTAAATAAGTATCTCAATTAGAATATTATTTTAGAGAAAGTATCAAAAAATTTAAAACCTAAAAGTATTCTTAAACTTAAGGAAAAAGTATTAAGAAGTGTGCTAATCTTACTGAGTACACTCACCTTAGATCATGAAAAGAACCAACATCCTATTTACTGTCTTATTTCCAAAAAAAAAAA